CAGTCTGTCAGACCTATTGCTAGACTCCCCCCCCAAAAAAGACTCTTATTATTAAAGGTTAGGTAAAATAGACTGAAGTTAATTAATTCATTAGTAACTCTGAGCCAATTACTGAAGGCTTCTCTTATTTATATACTTGTTAACAAGACAGAAATGAGAAAGGCCAATTACAGGCTCATGTCCTTCAGAAGTTTAGCAAACCCAGAGCTTATGCATGTATTGACACCCCTTCAAAAAATTCAGTTTATATATCACATGCATGAAATTTCTTTTTAAAAAATTGTTGGTTAACACTCTATTCTATCCCTTCCATTAATAAATTTTAGATTTTTTTTTTTCTGCCATCTAGATATCTCTAGTATGTCTAATGTTACTACTTCCTCCTAAAATCTTCCTAGGGAGTACTGCTTAGCTTTAGAGCAATTACAAAAATAAAAGAAATGTGACATATTTTCTGATTTTCATTATTCTCCTCTTATCCAAACTATTAAGATTTTAGTTCTTGAAGTGGAACAATTGATTAGCACATCTCACAACTGTAATCACTTGACATATGTTTTACTTGATTTTTATTGAATATACCAAAGATTTGCCACGTGTGAAAAGGACGTTTTTTCATATTTTTCCTGGTGACCAATATAAAAAAATTTAACTGCCTTATGCACACAGACTCCCCGCACAATACGTGCTACAACTATTACTCCCCCTTCCCTGCCTCACAGATATTTTGCTAATCTCACAGGGGTTGGGGAGAAAGGGGAGGGATGATGAACCAGCTTTCTGGACATCGATACTGTCTTCATATGTTGATGTCAGTATGCGGCCACAAATCAATGAAGAGTCACTTGATGCCAGTGTTTCGATAAATTAATTGGTTGTTTGAATTAAAACCAATCCGATTTTTTTTACATCTTTTGAAATATGATATGGATTTGGGTTACCATAGTACAGAGATGCCAAAGTAATGTCACAGTTACTGCCACCTAAGTTTTAGTTTTTTCCTCAGTCCTAGGTGGATTAAAATTTAATCAGTTATTTTACATCATAATCGTGACAATCACAGCATCATTGAGCAAGAAAACTCTCGCCAGATTATTTGATAATAATATCAGTGTTTGATAATGTCCTGGATTCTTGGAAAACTAGAGGAAAATTGGTTGTCTGCCTAGTGCAGGAAGCCGTTCTTAATACCTCCTACAGTGATGTAAACACTTTCTTGCCCTGGAATTCCTGTACTCTCTTCTTTATAACTCTTTTCTGGAGCTTTTCACTTTCTCCTCTGCATTATAATAACTGTTTCTGTGCTGAATTATTGGCAAATCGAAGGCAGGAACTGTGTTTTATGTACTTTGTAGTCCCAGAATTTTAGCCCAGTGCCTGCTAATAGGAAACCCTCAATCTGTGTATGTCAAAGGATTGGGGATGAGGAGTCGTAATCACTCCTTAACTTCAGTGTCTGCCCTCCCTCGATACTCTGGCTAACGAAGGAATCTCTTGCTTGAAATCAGCTAATGGAGCTCCATTTTCTGTGGTAACTGCAATACACTGGTAACAGATGTCCCATTATTAATTCATTGTGTAGGTTTCTCTGCTCCAAGATTTAAAATCGGTACTAATTTTTCCTCATATGAGCTGTTTTTCATTCCCCTAATTTCCATGTAACTATATTTTTAATTTTTTGTGGCTTTACCGACCTCAGGTCTGTGACTCTGGGCCAAGACCACACAGGCCCTTGTTACTCTTCCCACTTGCATGTGTGGTACCGTCTCCGTATTTTCGGAAGCACCTGTGAGAATCAGAAATGAACTTTCCTGGACTCTTTTATCCCTTAGGGCTTCGACGCATTCGCTCTTCATGCTCCTGCTTCAACGAGGCTAGTTTCCCTTCAGCTAACTTTGGTGTATTATCCCTGCCTTTCTTTCTTTTCACTTTCTTTTCCTTTCTTCCTGTCTGTTTTGTGAACTAACATATTTTACAGCCATGTCTTCTTACAGCAGAGCTTTCCATGTTTGTAATGAGTTCCCTGTGTAGAAGCTTCTTTCACAGATACCATCTCACTTGATTCTTACAGGCCAAGTACTATGCAGATGAGGAAACTAAAACTCAGATAGGTTAAGTGACTTGCCCAAGGTCACACAGCTGGGTTACAATTTCAGTTTTTAAATTTGTGACTTGTTTGCCTCCTTATGAGAATGAAATACAGAAGAGTTCCTTTACTTAGTTAAGTCTCATCTTTTGTGTGAGGAAACTACCCAATGTCCTCCCCCAAGAGCTGGATTTGTAGCCAGGTGAGTATTTTCCCAGTAATTCTACAGATCATTATAAAAAGAAAGTATAACCTAGTCTAAGGCTTCTCAAACTTTAATGTGCATGTAGGATCCTGTGAAAATGCAGATTTTGATTCAGTAGGTCTGTATTCCTGGTGAGCTCCCAGGGGATCCAAAGCTGCCAGTCCACAGACATTCCTCAGAGTAGTCGGGTTGAATGCACAGAGATGCTTGATTCACACCCTACCTCTTCTGTTTACTAATCATGACCTTGTGCAAGCTCCTTCACCCCTCTGAGCCTGTTTCTTCATCCTTAAAATGAGAATAATAATACATATCTTGCTCACTAAAAGTCAAACTGCTTGCAGGGAATTGACTTTTGGTGACTTGGCCTGCTTCCAGTACTCACTAACCAGATTAATCTTTCTAAAGCTGCTTTCACTCAGAACTTTCCAGTGAGCCCCATGGCCTGGTGAATGACATCCACACTCCTCCCCTTGAGCCTCAAATGTCTGCTGTAATAGTCACAAGGCATATTTCTAGCTCGAGCTCTTCCTACTTCTACTGATACTCATGTGTTACTAACCCACAGATTTCCTGTTTCGTCTTTCTCATTCACCTTTGTCCTACCCAACCGTTCATCATATCCATAAGAATCCCACCCTTCCATGAAGTCCCTTCTTTCATCCAGGCTCTGGCTGGAAGCATTCTCCTGCTCTCCACCCTCCATTGTGCCCCAAAACTCCCACACATATCTAGTTAGGTGTCTTGGTTATTTGATTTTTTTTTTTTTTTTTTTTTTGAGACAGAGTCTCACTCTGTCACCCAGGCTGAAGTGCAGTGGTGCAATCTTGGCTCACTGCAACCTCCACTCCCTGGGCTCACACAGTTCTTCTGCCTCAGCCTCCCAAGTAGCTGGGATTACAGGTGCCGGCCACTGCACCCAGCTAATTTTTGTATTTTAGTAGAGACAGGTTTCTCCATGTTGGCCACACTGGTCTTGAACTCCTGACCTCATGATCCACCTGCCTCGGCCTCCCAAGGTGCTGAGATTAGAGGCTCGAGCCACCGCACCCCACCTGTTGTTTGAATTTTTGTGACAGTGTGTTGATACCTCTGGATAGTTTCTTTACGTTTTTTCTTATATTCTAATATTTCTGTGATGGTGTCTAAGTTCCAGGAGTATGTGGGTCCAGGTACTGCTCAGATAGCACAGTGGTAAGAACTCAGCCCTGAGCTCCACAGGCCTGAGCACGGACCTCAGCTCGGCTCCACCATTTGCCAGGTTGGTTGCCTAAGACACGTTGGGTCTCCTAAGCCATCTGAGCAAAAAGTGGGTGCAATAGTACCTAACTGGCAGTTGCTACGAAGAAATTTTGTATTAAAAATACCTTACACGGTGTCCAACGCACGGAAAGGGCTCATGTCAGTGGAACTGAATGAATCAGAACTGACTGTTTAATCCCCGCACAACTGACACATTCATTCTAGTTGTGTGAACACGGGAGCCAAGCCCAGACTTCCAATTCGTGTCCTTTAACATTTTCTTTTCTGGTTATGTAGATGTCAGTATTAAGTCTTACCAGAATATTCCATACTCTGTCTCTTGAAATCAAAGCACACTTGTGGATCCAGCTCCAACAGGTATAACTTAAATGTGATGATGAAAAAGTAGCATGTTTTTTTTTTTGAAAGCACGTGGTTAGCAGTTAAACCTGGGTGAATCTAAACTGGCCCTCTCTAGAGATTTCCTTGACCTCTCCAGACTGTGGTAATATCCAAGTTGAATTTGGGGGGTTTTATTGGTTACTTTTTTTACTTTTAAAAATAATTAGAGGAAAAATATGTGAAATAGAAAAAATATTTATAGAAATAAGTAGCATAATAGTTCTATAGCCCAGAAATACTAATAATATTATAATATTATCATGGATGAGGGGGTAACTCTAAATGCCCCAAATAGCCCCACTTTTGTAAGTTGAATTTATATATATTTATCCTAGAGAATTTAAATATTCTGTTTATTTCAGTAATTGGTAAGGAGCTGTACATTTTGTTTGTTTGTTTGTTTGTTTGTTTGTTTATCTGAGGTGTAGTCTCGCACTGTGGCCCAGGCTGGAGTGCAGTGGCCCAATCTCAGCTCACTGCAACCTCCGCCTCCCACGTTCATACAATTCTCCTGCCTCAGTCTCCACAGTAGCTGGGATTACAGGCACCCACCACCACGTCCAGCTACTTTTTGTATTTTTAGTAGAGATGGGGTTTCACCATGTTGACCAGGCTGGTCTTGAACTCCTGACCTCGTGATCCACACGCCTCGGCCTCCCAAAGTGCTGGGATTAGAGACGTGAGCCACCATGCCTGGCAAGAGCAGTATTTTCTTTTAAACTTCTTCTCAACTAATCTCAAAAGAATTATATTTAATAAACTGTATCATACCATCATTTAGCTTAACTTTTTGGAGAGTAAAACTAAATGATTTGACAACTAGAAGTTGAATGCCAATGTCCTCAAAGTGGACCCAGTGCTTGGCCACAATGTAAGAGAGGAATCCATGCTGCAGCTGAACCTAGGGCACCAGAGCCAAAGTCACAGCCATAGTCATCATGCTGTTTTGTTGATGTGGGTGAAGAGGGTTTTCAAAAGAAACGTAGAAAATGGGGCAAAGCTTGTTTTAATCAGGGAGTATATGGAAAGAAAATTAGATGCCTATATTAAAACCTATTCTTTCAGACTACCAATAACATTTTTGCTCGGCCTCAAGAGACCATCAAAAAACAATAGCTCGTAATGCTTTCAGAACAGAAACTGAAGTTGTGTACTGTACATGTGCCATTCTACACAAGAAGAAGGCCGTGTTTAAAGCTGCTGTTGCCTCTTAGGAAAAAAACTGGAATTCTGAGTCAAGTATGTATGCATTTTCTGTTTTCCTGTCTTGTGGGTCTTTATGGTGAAAAGCATTTTTATGAAATTGCTGTCTGCTTCTTTAAGCTTCCTGTGGTCTTGTTTGCTTGTTCTCAGATCTCAAACCCTGCCATAGTTAGGAAACATCTTGAGTTGCTAAAAGTAAAAGACATTGTATTTTGTTTGTGAGCTGAAGAGCAGGACAAGCAATGTCTTCAGAAACAAAGGTCTTATTTTATATAAAAAAGTTTCTTTTTATTATAAGCTACAGTGAGGAATGATTTCAGGACAATGAGACACAAACTATTGCTTGGAAGCTGTAATGTTGTAGCTGCCTACATAGCTGAAATGGAGCAGACTGGTTTCCTTTTCTAGGCCTGTTTGGTCAGTTTAAACTGTCTTAATGGCTAATAAAACCCTGAAGAGTCATCTCAGGATTTCAGTTACCAGCCTACAGTGGACTGATGATCCATTGAACAGCAGCAAAGCAATATTTAATGTCACTTTATGCACCACAAACACAGACTGAGACACTCTCAAACGGTGAAGAGCATGGGCTTCCAGTCAGATCCGCCTGGATGTGAGCTCCGGTTGTAGCACTTGCTAACCGTGTGATCTTGGGCAACGTAACTTCATGAAGTCTACTTCTTCATCTATATGATGGGAATGAGGCCAGATTTCATCCGAGTAAGATACATTTTTTTCACATTTTAACATCTCTGACATTAGAATGCATGTTAGAACTGATGGTGTGTCTTCATCCAATTGCCAACACTTTATGTTTTCTTACTAGTGCATAATTGTGTAATTACAACCTATGACATTAGAGATTCAATTAAATAATTGACATATACCTCATCGAGTTGTTTTGAGATATAAATAAAATAATGACGTAGAACCTTATGGCCTGTAACACCTGCCCCATAGAAGACTTCTAGTAAAGAATGCCAATTAATGTTATACACCGTGATGTTTGCAAACTCTGGCATTTTCCTGTCTTGTTAGTCATAATTGATGTTTGCCAACACTAAAAGTTAATTTATTTGCAAAATCTTCTTGTTGGAACAGTCTGCCTATGGAGTAGCTCATCAAATTTCCTCTAATTGTTCTGGCAGCGTGGCATTGACCCTCCGGGTTTAAATGTGAAGTATGCTCGAAATGAAGGTTTTGTGAAAGCCCGTATTGACTTGTCAGATGAGTTGTTTGCAGACAAAAAGCAGAGTATGTAGTGAGCATGCTCCAACAGTTCCTGGCCCATAGGAAGCACTATGGATGTGGTGTCAAGAGGCAGCAGCCTGCATGGTGGTTAAAGGAGTGGGCTCTCCAGCCAAATGGGCTGCATTCAAATCCTGGCTTTTCCCCCTACAAGCCGTGTAACTTTGGACAGATCACCACTCTGTGGCCTCCCTGTTCTCACGCAGTTGTGAGAACTGAATAAGCTAATATACTGAAAGCAATTGTACATAAAAGATGCTATGTAAGTTTTCTGCTCTTAGAGGAAATATACCTTTCCTGTATTTAAGTTCCTTTAAAAGGTCTGAGTTTTTTTTATACTGAAAGGGAATATTCCAATACATTTTCTTTTTTTTTTGAGACAGTCTGTGTCACCCAGGCTGGAGTACAGTGGCACCATCTCCGCTCACTGCAACCCCCACGTCCTGGGTTCAAGCGATTCTCCTGCCTCAGCTTTCTGAGTAGCTGGGATTACAAGCATGAGTCACCATGCCTGACTAATTATTGTATTTTTAGCAGAAATGAGGTTTCACCATGTTCACCGGGCTGATCTTGAACACCTGACCTCAAGTGATCTGCATGCCTCAGCCTCTCAAAGTGCTGGAATTACAGGCATGAGTCACTGTGCCCAGCCAATCAGTGTACTTTTCAAGCAGGTGATTATTAAAATTCTGACTGTGAGAGGCTTGTACTGCATAAAACACATAACCTATAAACATGCCTTTGAGATAGTTGTGATAATGGGGCACAGCTGTTGAAACTGATCTATCTAGCAGTAAACATATGACTGAAAACAAAGTATCAGGTAAGTCTGAGATTGCTTCTCACAACCTCTGCGGTGTCTGTATAATATTATCTTGTATGGCTTAAAATCCAGTTGGTATAGGTCAGCCCATACTCCCAGATTCCTATGCCTAGGATTTTCAGAAGGACCTCCTTCTAGTATTTATTCACTGGTAACCCATATTGTTCTTATCTTTTAAGGTTGTAAACATGATTACTCTGCTGGAATAACTATGGCCATCAAGCATGGATCTCCAAGCATCAAAGCTGGTGCTTAGTTGGCTTTTAACTTAAAAGTTTTGTTTCATTTTAACAGAGAATTCCAAAATGAAACAAAACTTATCTATAGTTATTCAGTATTTTTTGAGTGGTAATTATGTGTTCATTCACCTGAACAATTGCAATTAGTATTATTTCTTTGTAACCGAGACACATTTTTAACTTTTTTTCCTCTCTTTCTTTGTATTTTATTTACTCTCTAATGTCAGTCATCAATGTCAATATCAAGAAACTGTAGGCTGAGCATGATGGCTCATTCCTATAATTTGGGGATGCCAAGGCAGGAGGATTACTTGAGCCCAGGAGTTTAAAACTAGCCACTAGCCTTCACCACATAGCAAGACGTCATCTCTACAAAAAAGTAAAAAATTAGCTGGGTGGGGTGGCATGAGTCTGTAGTCCTAGCTAGTCAGGAGGCTGAGGCAGGAGGATCGCTTGAGCCCAGGAGTTCAAGATTACAGTGAGCCATGTGTGCACCCCTGCATTACAGCCTGGGTGGCAGAGTAAGGCCTCAACTCAAAAAGAAAGAAAGAAAGAAAAATCCATGTACCCCAGTGTGTTGAAATGTTGATGTCCAGACAACTGGACTCTAAAGTCCAGTTCTGTCACTCAGCTCACCCCCAAATATCCAATGTGTCATGACTGCTTATGTTATAAGGGCTGAGTGGCCCTCTGGCTCCACCATGGACTGTGTGTTTTCCAAGACCACCTTCATAGGAAAAGCAAGACCTAAAGGGACCCTTTTGGGGGCTACTCCTAGAAATGGCTTATAAGACATCTGTGCCCTAATTCCTTTGGCTAACATCCAGTCACAAGGCCCAACCAAATTACAAGAGAGGCTAGGAAATATCTTCCCTAGTGTCCAGGAAGAGAAAATCATGTGGCAAATAGCGTTCTCTCCACCACAGCCACACAGCTGTGTAACTTGGGTTACTTAACCTCCCTGAGCCTCAGCTTTCTTACTTGCAGAGAAGAGATAATAATACCTACCTTGCAGAGCTTCTCTGTGGATTAAATAAAAAAATACTTTATTAAATTGTTATATATTATTACTAATAATTATAGTTTCTCACTAAACACATACACATACGTAGGACCCACATCATTAGCACCTGAACCTCTGGTCCTCTCTAGTCTGACCCTCTGCTGATCCTTTCATTGCTATCCAGCCTGTCTGGGGTGCAGAACTTAAGGCAGGCAAGACTCTTGCCCCTGATTTGTGACTGTCACTAGCATTGTAGTCCACGAGCTAGGATGTGAGAAACCAAAGCCAAGATAGGGTGCTGAAAATGAACCCTAGGTCCTTCACAAGTCTTAGGGGAAGGGCTATAAATGCATTAAAGTGTAGAAGACAGACAGGAGAATGATCAGTTGTGTAAAATTATTAAAAGAGACCAAGTTTTAAGATAGCAGCTGAGCCAGACACTGTGGCTTACACCTGTAATCACAGCACGTTGGGAGGCTGAGGCAGGTCAGGAGTTCGAGACCAGCCTGGCCAACATGGTGAAACCCCATCTCTATTAAAAATACAGAAAGGAGCCGAGCCTGTAATCCCAGCTACTCAGGAGGCTGAGGCAGGAGAATCACTTGAACCCGGAAAGCGGAGGTTGCAGTGAGCAAAAAAAAAAAAAGATAGCAGCTGAAAGAAAGGGGAAAAAATGGACACATATTGATATTTCAAAATTGGCAGGCATCATCATGCCAAGGCTTTCACACGAGTGACTTCCTTTAATTATCACAAAGATCCTTAGGTAAGAATCATTAACCCCAGTTTCCAGCAGTGTTAAAGTAACATGCCCAGGCTCACATAGCTAAAAAGTGACAGAGTTAAGATTGAGTCTTCAGAGTCCTGGTGTTCTCTGTTCCGTGACAGCACTTCACACCTCTTAGTCATGCTGAATTGTGCCAAGGACCAATAGATCTCAGGGAATATACAGGAAGTGTGTCTTGTTCAGGAGAAAGACAAATAGACCCATTATCTTCAAGCAATTCCCCTTCTCCTGCTTCCCACATGACCAAAAGCGAAGCTCAGAATCAGCCTAGGGTACAATATATTTCAGTTAATGGCTCCCAAACACACACAAATATACTCTTACCTGTTTGCTAATGTTTGAAACTCATTTCGCTGACAGAGGCTACGAGGGTGTGCGTGGCATTCCATCCACATGTGTGTAAGACCATCCATCTCATTTGGGGCGTGTAGACGATGGAATGATTTCACTGAGTAAAGCAGGAATTTGGATGAAGAACTTTCAAGCCAGGGCCACAGCCTCCTGACTTCAGTCTGACAGCTGCCTTCCCCTGTGCAACCAAAAATTGGTCCAGATGTAGCCTTGAGTCCCCTGTAGCCATGCAGGCTTAGAATATGGTGGGAACTGGTACCACAGAACAGTCCCATGAGATGAACTCTGAGTACCATGCCATAAAGTGCCCTCAGGGAATCCAAGTATATCCAAACAAACCAAGGGATTTGGAGCTTAGCATGTTACAGGAACAGTATTAAAACAAAACTACTTCTGCAGCAGGACTGACATGAATATAAGATCAGGTTTTTCCAATCTGTCAAAATAAATTTGTTTGGAATTGTGAGCAATATAAACCCCGTAAGTTCCAGGCTCTCACTCTATTTCTTAGACATGTTAGGATTCTACCCAGTGATTTGAGCATGTATGAGAAGTAGTTTATGACCCAGCATGCCTCTCTTACTGTCAGTGTATTTGGGACTCCTTTGTCTGTTCTATAAAGTGGTGTCTTCTCTACATTAATTTTCATGAAGAATACTTAGAACAGTGTTTTCACCATGTGAAAGGCAATGCAATGGAGTGGTTAATGGTTGAGGGTGTGGCTCTGCAGCCAGAGTAACTTTGTGTGAACCCAGGCTTTATAATGTACAAGCTGTCTAACTTTAGGCACGTTACTTCCGTGTGCCTCAGTTTCCTTATCTGTCAAACAAGGAGGTTAATAGTGCTGCCTCGTAAGCTTGTTTCAAAGATTAAATAATCAAATATATATATATAGCACTTAGAAAAGTGACTGACATGGTAAGGGCTCATTCTCTAGTGAGGTCCTCAGGAATAAGAGAAAGGGGTGAGAGGGAGGCAAGAGCCAAGAGCCACAGTGCTGATACAGGCGGTTTGACGGAGGAGAACTAACTCGGATTTGTCTCACTAGCTCATGTTCCGACAGTTAAGAAACAGAGATCAGTGCTTCTCAAACTTCAGTGTGCTTATGTCACCTCGAGAGCTTTCTCATACGTGAGTTTTCGTCCATTAGGTCCAAGTGCAGCTAAAGGTTCTGCAGTTCTCATAGGGTCCCGGGTGACGCTGAGGCCGCTGGTCTGAAGATCACCCTTTGAGGAGCAAGAGTTTAGAGAACACCTGTTCCTAAGTGCCACATGGTCTCTTTCTTTTCTTCTTCTTCTTTTTTTTTTTTTTTTTTTGAGACAGAGATTCACTCTTGTTGCCCAGGCTGGAGTGCAATGGCGCAACCTCAGCTCACTGCAACCTCCGCCTCCCAGGTTCAAGCGATTTTCCTGCCACAGCCTCCTGAGTAGTTGGGATTATGGGCATGTGTCACCATGCCCAGTTAATTTTTGCATTTTTAGTAGAGATGGGGTTTCTCCATGTTGGCCAGGCTGGTCTCGAACTCCTGACCTCAGGTGATCCACCCACGTTAGCCTCCCAAAGTGCTGGGATTACAGGTGTGAGCCACTGCGCCCAGCCTACATGGTCTCTTTCTTAAGGTTGCACTCTCTAGGGATCTATTTACAAAGCCCTTTTGTCAATTTTGGTCATGGGTCTTGGGTCAAGAAAACATTTGAAAATAGATATTGCTTTAAGGAAAATGGCATAGGGATTCAATATTGGATTACATGAAATATTTTGAATTCTTAAGCATTTTCTCCAAAATGTGATTTTTCCAAAAGTTATTTTTCCTTTCTGATCATTTACAAAGCAAAAGATTGAGATTTTTTTTTAAGGTAGGCAAAATGTCTCTGTCTGCTTTCCAAATAGGGGTGGGATCAGCAAAAGCAAACATCTTGTCACATGATGACCGTCCCTTCCCAAGCAACCAGTGCTTTAATTCTAACCTCATGTGCATTTCAAGAGAAATGTAAAGCAGATGGTTGTGTTCTGCTGATACATAAATCACAGAAATTTCTCATAAATTTTGTTTTCGTTGTTAAAAAGCTTCAAACTGCCAGGCAGTGTTTTGCTTAAACCAAAGATGGGCCTGAGCGGACAGCTAATGGATGGACATTCGGGTTTGAAAAGCTTAAATTTAGTCAAATGACCATTTTTGACCTTATGATGACTCAAATTCAGACTACGTTAATTTCTAATCCTTTAGTCAACTTCCTCACTATCTGCTATAGATACTACTTCATAGAAATTCAAGCTATCCAAAGACTTGAACACTGTGCGTGTGTTTTAAAATGTCTACAGGCAAAATCAACAAGCATCATTCCTATTCTGGAGCAGCAAGGAGACCTCCGTATCCCACCAAGCTACCTGTGACTAATTCTTACTAATTCCACCAAGATCATAAAGCAGTGCCTTCCAGTAAGAGTTGGCAAACGTTTTCTGTGAATAGCCAGATAGTAAGCATTATGGATTTTGTGACTCATGCAGTATACTAGTTTGCTAAGGCAGCTGTAGCAAAGTACCGCAAACTGGGTGCTTTAAACAGTAAAAATGGGTCATCTTACAGTTCTGGAGACCAGACATCTGAGAACAAGGTATTGGCAGGGTTGGTTCTTTCTGAGAGCTGCAAGAATCTGTTCCATGCCTCTCTTGTAACTTGTGGTGGTTTGCTGGCAATCCTTGACATTCCTCTTCACGTGATATTATCCCCGGGTGGATATCTGTGTCCCAGTTCACCCTTTTTAGAAGGATACCAGTCATGTTGAATTAGGGGCCCACCCTACTCCATATGACCTCATTCTAACTTAACTAATTACATCTGCAAAGACCACATGTCCAAATAAAGTCACATTCAAAGGTGCTGGGGGTTAGGACTTCAGCATATGAATTAGGGTGGGGTTTGGGAAGGACACAATGCATCCCATAACAGTATCTGTCAATAGCATATGGCATTCATCTCAGCTAATCAACTTTGCTCTTGAAGTGCAAAAGCATCCATGGAAAAATACTTACACAAATGGCATGGCTGTGCCACAATAAAGCTGTACTTATGTGTTTCTTAATAGATGGCAAGCCTGTAGGCAGTAGTGTATGAACACTTGCCTCAGAGTAGCTCTGATTCTTTCTGAATATGAAAAAGAAAAAGACACACATGAGGAGATTTGGCACTTGGCATAGAAGAGGAGAAAAAAACTTTGCAAGTTTTCAAAATGCCTATTTTACATTTGTAATTTCAGTCATAATGTTTTATGTTTAGCTTTAATGTCTTATCTCTACATTTGAATGCACTCTGGATATGTGTACACAGTTTCAATTAAGCCAAATGATATAAATTTTATAATGGTGACTCTAGTAAGAATGATACACGTTGTCTTCAGACTGTTAGTTCTAGAATGACAGCAGAATCTTTTCCATTTAACATTATACCTGTATGCTTTGCTTTTTTTTGTATGAATATGTCTGAAACATGAACAACTGCTTATGATTTGTAATTTCTTTTTTTTTTTTTTTTTTTTGAGACGGAGTTTCACTGTTGTTACCCAGACTGGAGTGCAATGGCGCGATCTCAGCTCATTGCAACCTCCTCCTCCTGGGTTCAAGCAATTCTCCTGCCTCAGCCTCCCGAGTAGCTGGGACTACAGGTGCGCACCACCATGCCCAGCCAATTTTTGTATTTTTAGTAGAGACGGGGTTTCACCACGTTGACCAGGATGGTCTCGATCTCTTGACCTCGTGATCCACCCGCCTTGGCCTCCCAAAGTGCTGGGATTATAGGCATGAGCCACCGCGCCCGGCCCGATTTGTAATTTCTTTAGAAATGTATCTATATTTATCCTCTGTGAATACACGTGTATATTCTTTTCCCTTTAATATTTAATGTTTCTAGAGTACCTACAGGTAATATGTTAGGCTATATACAATGAATCCTGCACAAGACACATTTTTCCAGACACATACCCTCCTGGAAGGTGGGTATACACACAAAGAAAATAGATAACATACAACATATATTCAAGCATCATGCAAAGATTTACAGATACCACTACCATGAGAGGACCATTGCTTTGTTCTGCTTGAGTCCAAATAAATGCATATATGAAAATCTCACGTCTTTATACTGCATAGTCACTTGGAACTTAATGGAACCAAATTAGAAAGTTCTGTGTAGGGTCAGAGATGTACGAGCACTTTAAAAGGCTATCATGGAAAACTTGAAGGTTGACTATGTAGTAAGGAAAAGATTTAATCGGGCACGTACTGTATGTTTTGCAATAGTAACGAAGGTCATGCTACCATTTATATTAAAACTTAGATCCAGCTTATTTTATATTAAAATACCAGGCCTGGCAGGGCATGGTGGCTCATGCCTGTAATCTCAGCACTTTGGAAAGCTGATCTGGGTGGATCACCTGAGGTCAGGGGTTCGAGACCAGCTTGACCAACACAGGGAAACCCCCATCTCTACTAAAAACAGAAAATTAGATTACAGGCATGGTGGCACATGCCTGTAATCTCAGCTACTCGGGAGGCTGAGGCAGAAGAATCGCTTGAACACAGGAGGCGGAGGTCGTGGTGAACCGAGATCGCCATTGCCTTCCAGCCTGGGCAACAAGAGTGACACTCTGGAACTCTTCCTCTACATGGGTGTAAAGGCAGCTAGAGTCAGAGGTCAGCATCTGCTTGAACTTTTAAGGTAACATACGTGCCAATAGTGACAGGTCTTACTGAGGATGAAACTCACAGGCTTCAGTATTGGATACTGGGGTCTCATTCAGCTTCAGCAAAGATGCCCCCTCAAAGTCACTTACCTAGAGTGCGCCAAGATCGGCCTTGTATTTAGAAGGTGAAAGAAAATGCCTGCTAGATTATACAAATTACAAAATAGGTCAAATTGGGAGATTAAATGAGTACCTCCTAAGCTTTCAATCAGGTTTTTACCTTAAAGGCTTTCGGTTCAGAGATTTTTAGAGCAAGTACCAACTGTGCTAACATATCTGAAATGCTGTACAACTGAAAATGTCAAATGTGTATGGCTTTAATAATCGTAACCATTTTAGGTCCAAAGAATACTTCTGAAATCATCATTAATAGAGTATTCTCTTTGGAATTAGAGAAACACTATCACATTTCCTGACTAAAGACCCATGACTTTCAATAACACAAGCCAACATCTGCCTTTACACATACAGTTGATTCCATAACCACATGTGGGCTGACTTCATATTGCCCAAAATGAGATTTTTTTATTGCATCTTAGGTTTTGGGGTACATGTGAAGAACATGCAAGATTGTTGCATAGGTACACACATGGCAGTGCGATGTGCTGCCTTCCTCCCCGTCACCTGTATCTGGCATTTCTTCCCATCAAAATGAGATTTGAACATTGGTGATGAAACTAGAGTTTTTCTTACAAATAAAAAAATAAAGCATCCCTACATTATTTTTAACCTAGAAACTCTGTGAATCTCTCGGATTCTCTGGTTTGTAGTTTAGAAGCCATTGTCCTATCCTAAGAATCTTCTGCACATTTGTTTGGAGATGGGGCAATTTCTCTCATTTCTTTGTACGTTTACTTAAATAAAGGGAAGGGGCTTCCATCCTCCCATAAAACTAAAAAAGAAAATGAAACTAAATGGCTTTTGTTCTTCTCAACACTTTGCAAACTTTGACTAGGAAATGAAGCACTACAGTGTGTCAGTGAAGAATAATGATAATATTAATAATGATGGTGATGATGATGGTAATGATGAATTAGACAGTGTAATTCTCTTCTTATTCTAAGTCTGAAAACTGAAGCAAAATGATGAAGTGCCTTTCCCAAGATCAGCAGCTCCACAATGAGAACTTGGGTTTGTCCTCCCTCACACATCTTCTTCAGGGAGAACAAATATCACTAATGTTCATCCGCACCAGGAGAAAACCATACTGGCCCATTCAATGGCCAATTAGAATAAATTGTATATTAAGAAAAATATGATAGGTGATAGAAAAATCAAAAGCTCTCTAAAGAAAAGGAACAAAAAACCTGAATAAATAAGCTTAACGGTCCATTGTTTGTGGGAAAAATGATGAAATTATCATCAAAATATCCTATGAATTGAGAATGAAGATACATTTTTTATGTAGAAAGATTTTTACAAAAAAAAAAATTCTACCCAGAAAAGTAAGACTCTTCTAGGACCAGTATTAGTTTTTGTTAAAGGGGTATCAGTCTCTTTCCGATAATAGAAAAAAATAGACTGTATACAAATCTTAGTAAACTAGTCCATTATGATTCTTCATACTAAATCATATTTAAGACAATGTTTGCGACTGTGCTGAGGATTTGTGCATTAAAACTGTCTATACAGGAGAGTGTTCTAATTATCATAGAATTGCCCCACAGAATCGGAATCATTCAGGTGAAAACATTCTTTTTATTTAAGAGCAAGTTAGAGGCACAGGTTAACAATAAATACTATAACACATCTTTTTGCCTTCAAAAAACAAACAAACTAGTCTAAATATCAATCTTTAGATGCTAAACCTGTGTTTAAACAACGTGTCAATCTACTTCTCCTGACAAAACTCTGGGTGAGGTATTGTTTCCACATTCAGGGACATTAGCCCAGTAATGTAGAAAAAGAAAAAAAAAATCTTCATTTGGATGTTGCATCTTTCAGACATTCCCTTCTTTTATTGATTTGTTTTCTCCTGTCCCTTTGCTCCTTCTTTTGTTTCCTTATCATCGCTTCGGGTTATTACGTGCAAAGTATTGATGGGAATGGATGGTTTTGGTCGATGGAGAGCTAATGCATCCCTAATCCCACTATTGTTATAGAGTTATGCTTTCCTCTGGTCTCTGATGGGGGAAAAGGTGCAAAGCTGTTGATCCTAGTTTTATTTGTCACAAACCCATCCATCAATCAAGCACAAGCATGTCTGAATGCTGAATGGCGTGGGGGTCTCAGCTGAAAAAATTCGATAACTGTATTGTCAGGTCTCTCACTCTTTTTTTGATAAGAAATACATTTGACTGAAATAGATAAGCATGCAACTACTAAAGACTTGAAGAGAGAGAATGCCATATTGGCACCAAAGGTTATATATCTTTGGTATTAATGATACTTATGAGTAAATAAAACAGGAGGGGCAGCTACAGCTAGAGACATACAGCATCCCTAAGGCTTGGTGATGTTTAAGTGTCATCGCTCTGCTGTTATTTGGATTTTCGAATATTTATCTGACCATATTCCACAGTCGTCAGCTCTCGTTAAAATGCAAGTCAATCTGCATTTGGTGAAGGCAGTGAGTGGTTCAGGGAATCAAATATCACTTGTTTATACCGACCTGGACATTGCAGACAGATCCTTTGTTATGTACAGTAGGTAATCCCATGGCTTATTTTTTGTGTATGTATGAACTCATACATTCACAACTGTCTCTTGCCAGTGAAAGCATTTTGGGGAGGGAGGAATAAGCTTCATTATTTTAAACTGGAAACATATATGCATGCAATTTCAATAGTGAATTAACTTATAATTACAGTATCCAAAATGGTTTCTGGTGTTCCTTTTATTCTAGTTACTAAGTTACGTACTTTAACACATTATGAAAGCTTGTCTTTTCAGTTACATAAATTTTTCTCTTCATAGTTATTTCAAGATAATTGCATTTGGAAGTAGTAAAAACATTAAAAACAACACTAGTATAATGTAATTTTAGGGGCAAAATTAATCACCAATTAGAACATTTTTAAAAACTATTTTATTCTCTTGTCATAATATGTTAGAGAAGACAAGTGTTTTTTAAATGACCTAAAAAAAACCCATCAAGAAAAGCAACAGAAAGACAGTTCCGAATTAGAGAGCACGAAGATGAATGTTTTGTAGCCTTAAGTATCCCATGTTATGAAAGTAAACCATTTTTTCTCTGTTCAGTGACTGGGGGCTAGAAAACTGAAAAAAAAAAAATCAATGCGGGAATGCTTTAGATTTGTTGGGTAAATTACATGTGCTCGGCTGCTCCATTGTATCTGCCCTATATTCTATACGAGATAACTTTAGATGGACCTGTCACGTAAGGCATATACTTCACATTGATTTTTATACATTTAACAGAATTTCAACTGAACTTCATAATAGAGCAAGAAGGGAAATGATATCTCCCTCACATTCCTAACACCTGAATTATTTTTGAAATTAAGTAGTAGTTCCCAGCTTTGAAATCATGGTGGGAGGCAAAAAAAAAAAAAAAAAAAATCAAATTTGGTTTCCAATTATCCTCACCTTCTGGTTTCCAGTTATTTACATTTCATCTTCACTTCCCCACCTCTTTAAAAACATGTTAATGCTCAAAGACTTTCCAGGAGGGTCCATGAACCAACAAATGAGAGACAGCTGAACCTTTGGGAGTTGAGGGAGTTCCAAACATTGATCTTTCTGTTCACTATTCTTTTTTTTTGAGATAGAGTCTCACTCTGTCACCCAGGCTGGAGTTCATTGGCACAATCTAGGCTCACTGTAACCTCTGCCTCCCGGGTTCAAGCGATTCTTCTGCCTCAGCCTCCCAAGTAGCTGTGATTACAAGCAAGCACCACTGCATCTGGCTAATTTTTGTATTTTTATTAGAGACGGGGTTTCACCATATTGGTCAGGCTGATCTTGAACTCCAGACCTCAAGTGGTCCACCTGCCTGGCCTCCCAAAGTGCTGGGATTACAGGCGTGAGCCACTGCGTCCGGCCTCAGTTGACTATTCTTTCGGGTTTCTAGTTTGCTGTGGTTTTTACCATTACTGTGAAGTCTGATTCTGTTTAAATAAAGTCTCTGATGCCACATTTGTTGCTCTTCTATAGTATATGATATGTGACACAGTGTAATATTGAGAGACAGATTCATATTTCATGGGAATATTTTAATTATGGCCAATCCACATTAATAACTCTATTCTAAACCTTCTCTAGTTAAAGAAAAATCATTTGATAAGACTCATTGTAATAAACTGATTAACTTTTCCAAGTAAATGTATAGATGTGACACAAACAAAAACTCTAATCCCATATTCAAACTTTATAGGCGAATTATAATGTTTATGTGGAAGAATAAATGTGTGATCAAAGCCCAAGTGTTTATAAGGAAGAGATGAGAAAGGACTTGTACCAGCCGGCAAAGTATATTGTCAAACTTCAGGAACTAAACCATTTCTGTTCTAGGAATTGGTGTCCCCAGTTCTGATAATGTTCACTCTCAAAGCATCATGTTCTATACCCTAAAGCACTCTCCACACCTCAAGGTGAGGAAAATAGGCAAAGCAATAACAGCAATGAGAGACCTTCTTTCCCTACTGGTATACCTCGGATTTCCCCCTGGACAGAGAACCAAGGGGAAATGACAGCCACCATAGGATCACATAAAGAAGTGAGAAATTTTTCTTTCTTTTCTTTTCTTTCCTTCTTTCTCTCTCTTTCTTTCCTTTTCTTCTCTTCCTTTCTTTCCTCTTTCTTTCTTTTTCTTTCTTTTCTTTCTTCTGTCTTTCTCTTTCTTTTCCTTCTCTCTTTTTATTTTGACAGGGTCTCACTCTGTCACTCAGGCTAAAGTGTGGTGGTGCAATCACGCCTCACTGTAGTCCCAACCTCCCGGGCTCAAGCAATCCTCCCACCTCGGCCTCCCAAGTAGCTGGGACTACAGGCATGTGCCACTATGCCCAACTAAATTTTTAGTTTTTGTAGAGACAGAGTCTTACTATGTTGCCCAGACAGGTCTCGAATTCCTGGGCTCAAAGAATCCTCCTGCTTCAGCCTCCCAAAGTGCTGTGACCACAGGCATGAAAGAAACCTTGATGCCCATCTATTGTCCCATCTCACAGAACTGATAGAATTCATTTCAGAAGGGCATATAGAGAACTTTTAAAAATATTCTCTCCAATTTTTGTCTCTATAGCATTAGTCATAGCTCTGGTAGCTGTGCCTTAAGTTAACAGTGTTTCCCCAAAGAGTTAAAACTCTAACACCTTTGTAATTCCTTTGAAACTCAGACAGCTCTGCAGAAAAGAGAGGAAGACAACTCTACACAAAAAGCTCAGTCAAGCATTTTTGGAGCTGATTATAGAAAAAGAGTTGTCTTATATGTTTATGTATAAAGAAGTGGGAATCATGACATGGCTTTTAGGCCTGACCCTGGTTCACAAATTTTCCAAACTCTACCAAAACAGTGAAACAGACAAATCAGAAGAATAGAATAGAGTCTGGAAAAGGACTCTGGAATTTGGTATTGATAAAAGCAAGGTCGGTTTTATACACTACTGGTATGAATGTAAAATTGGTAAGCCAAGTTAGAAGCCAATTTTGCAGTGCCTATTGAAATAAAAGACATACATTGACCCAATAATTTCACTTCTCTATATCTCCCTAAGAAACATTGGCACATGTTCATAATAAGACAGTATGACAATGGAATAGTCTGGAATAGTAAAAAATAGGAAACTCCAAATGACTATCAACAGGAACTGGCTAAATAAACTATACCAGGACCATACTATGAATATGATGTGTAAGTAGAAAAAGATAAGATAGAGGTGCCAGGCACCGCGGCTCACACCTATAATCCAAGCACTTTGGGAGGCTGAACTGGGCGGATCGCCTGAGGTCAGGAGTTTGAGACCAGCGTAGCCAATATGATGAAACCTCATCTCTACTAAACCTATACAAATTAGCTCGTTATGATGGCATGTGCCTGTAATCCCAGCTACTAGGGAGGCTGAGGCAGGAGAATTGCTTGAACCTGGGAGGCGGAGGTTGCGGTGAGCAGGGATCGCACCACTGCACTTGAGCCAGGGTGATAGAGCGAGACTCTGTCTCAAAAAAAGAAAAAAAAAAAGAGAGAGATAGTGCTCTCTGCACTGGCACAAAAATATTTTTAAACCATATTACTGAGTGGGAAAAAAAAGGAAGCAAACTTCAGAATATTACTACACAAAGTATCATATATTGGGGTAAATATACCTCATTTATACATGTATAACAATGATCAACACCATTTAAAAAAATAAACTCTCATTAATCTTTGTCTACCCCAAACCATATACAAAAATACATTTTTACGAATTAAGAACTTAATGACATTTTGAAAACTATAAAGTTACTAAAACAAAATATACAAAAATATATATTTAACCTTAGCATGACACCAAGGCCAG